CCTCGAAGAGTGGGAGTTAAATCGTCAGATGTAACAAGTTTAGTCCATGACTGACCAACAGCTCTTTCGAGCTTGAGGGCGAAAGCAGGGTGAGATATGATGTTGAATATGCGTGTAGACACTAGATATTATGATGAGCTGAGCGAGGCAAAAAACACGTGTGCGTGCAATGCATGCTCACAATGCCTCTGTGCACAAGTATACGTGTCGCGTGTATTATAGGCCAATTAATGTGTGGTATTTCGCAGTTATTTGTCCCGTCTATATCCTCTCGTGTCCGCCAGTATATCATCGCCGTCGCGCCGACGTGCAACACGAAACCCCCACATGTCAAAACTGGTCAAAACGCCAAAAAATGTGAACAAATAGTTGAACAGACGACGTGCGTAAAATGCCCCGCCTGAGCGTAAAATGCCCCGCCTCGCACTTGAGGTGGGCGATCTCCTGCCATGAGGCCGACTCAGGCGGGCGTTTCCTTCATGCCACAATGATATGCCGCACTCCAAAAGACCATGCTTAAAATTCTGCACAAAGGATGCGAACGTTCGAGGGCAGCAGAGGACACAGAGAGGGGGAGGCGGTGCTACCCGCGCGCCGTGTGACCATATTGCGATATCCTCGTCCTCGCACCCTCCCCATCCATGTATTATTCGTAACATGAAGATGGTAGCACTTTTATTTGGTAAAGCCCAGCTGTTTATTATGGAGTTACAGCAGCAGCAGTTGCGCTGCCTGGCAAGCTCCGAGGATATTTTGTCCACAAACAAGCTCCAGCTCATGGACTTCCCATTTACACTCAGTCGCGCCGTCCCCCCAACGACCGACTTGTCCCGACGTCTAGGTAGACTACTGCTGTACAGCAGCCAGCTGACAGCTTCGCTAGCTCCTTTGATACGTGTGCAGCAGGGAAGCTGCTGCGACCAAACCACAACAATGGGTACTCTGCAGGGAGATCAGGGACCTGCTCCCTGCTCCTGCTACCATCACTGCTGAACTGATCGCACAGAACCAGCAGTAGCAGCTCAGCAGTAGTAGTACACCTAGCCTACCCGACCTGTACGCTGTAACGAAGGATTCGGTAACCGTGAATCCGTGGTTTGTGGAAGCGTTCCGGAAATTTCGTGAAAGAGCGGCGAATGGGCAAAAAAAGGGTACACGGGGGTATATAGCTATATACAGGGTACAAAGAAGAGTGAGAGAGTGGCAGAAGCTTCTGGGATCCTTGGGAAGCCGAGGACTTCGAATGGAAAAGCGTTGCATCGCCCGCGAAGGCAGTGCAGCAAAGCAGCAGCGAGAGAATAGAGCTTTCGTTTGGGACTTGATCGAACCTGATCGAGTTTGTCCTAGACACGCCGGAGTGATGAACAACGGCAACAACCTGCAGCAGGAGGGTCAGGGTCCCCCCCAGCAGCCGTAGCCAGCACAGCCAGCGCAACCTCCACCGCCTCCACCGCCGCCTCCCGGTGGACCACCGCCCACAGCTAACCAATAACAGAGCAGCGGCGGCGGAGCAGGAGCAGTAGCGGCAGCTCCCCATGGTGGCGGACAGGCAATAGCAGCGGGAAACCAGCCAGCAGGGGCGGCGGGAAATCAACAGGCGGCGGGACACAACAACGCGCCTCCGGCAGCAGGAGGAGGAGACCAGAACGCGGGCGGAGCCGCGCCAGCCGGGCTGAGAGGCCCACGTACCCCCATCAACCCTGTCCAGCTACTGCTTCAGATGTCTGTACTGCTACAAGAGCAAAACGACCGACTCGGCAACCTGGAGCTCAGGATGCAGCAGCAGCAGCAGCAGTACCAGCAGCAGCAGCAGCAGCCGCAGGACCAGCAGCAGCAGCAGCAGCAGCAGCAGCAACAGCAGCCTGGCCACCTCCCCCCTGGCGGCCTCCAGCAGCAAGGTCAGCCCCAGCCCATCAATCTCCCTTTAGGTGGCCAGCTCGTGCTACAGCCCCAGCAAGCGCAAGCTCTGGACCAAAACGTTGATGTGTCGAACCAGGCCCTCAACACTCATGTACAGAGAGAAAGGTTTCGCCGGGATACAAAGGCATGGGGAGACGAGTCCGCGGCGACGCTGCTTCTGCTGCGCGGCGGGTGGTTCGTTAGCACCACGCTGTCAAAGAACGCCATTGCCCAGCTGCTGCGCAAAGTGGCCTATCCCGACGCCGAAATGATCGATTCGCTGATGCTCCCCCTCCCTACGGGGTGGACCCCGCAGCCACGCGACTTCGTCGTTCACCTCGAGACGTTCGTGAAAGCATTCTTCGCCGTGTTGGACCATGGCACACACGCCGCAGGCGAACCATCGACCGGTCGCAGACAACAGTTGAAAGCCGAAGTCAGCCGCATTGTGTCCAACGCCCGGGACTACTTCAGCCTTCATTCGGCGGAGATCACGGGTCAAGAAGCAGCGGTGAAGACGCGCCTGATCGCCGACACCAACGCCGACATCAACGGGTATCTCGGGAACATCTCAGACCTTGGCGGCGCGGCCCGCGCCAACCACGACATCTCCCCGCCGGCAGACGACGACGTGCAACCCGTCCCCCCCNTATCTAGAGGTGGGGCCAACGCGGCTGAGGGGGGCGGGTGACACCACGGTAGCANCGCACGTGGGGAACCCCCCACCGCGCGTGTCACTCCCGCTGGACAGGGCAAAAGTGCACCCGCCCGCGCTGCACCCTCAACCACCTACAGGTTCATCCCAGCGTCGCCCCCCCCGGTCCGCCGCCCGGTCCGCCGCCCACAGCGCCAGCCCGGGCCCCCGCCCCAGCGACCGTCCTTGCTCCTGCCCCCGCCCCCGCCCCCGCCCCCGCCCCCGCCCCCGCCGCATCACGCCCCGTGGTCGCCCGTTACAGCAACAACTACAGGCCACACGGAGCAGCAGGAACCAACTCCTGACAATACGGGCCCTATCTAGAGGTGGGGCCAACGCGGCTGAGGGGGGCGGGTGACACCACGGTAGCAGCTTTTGTAGACAGGAGCAGGACCGTGGCGCTAACTGAAGCGCCTCCTCCCGGGTTGGGGGCACCGAACGTGTTCTACGGTGAGAGAAGAAGTACCCGCCCGAGTAAATAAAGTACCAATAGTGAGGAACATGGAATAACTGCAGAGCCAGAGCTGATAGACCAATCTCACCAAGGAGTAGAACAACCGTGTGCTCTTAGAAGTACCAGCCAAAGTAATTCACGCACCAATAGTGATGAACATGAAATTACTGCAGAACCAGCGCTAATGAATCCCTCTAACCAAGGAGGAAAATCGTGTGCTAGACTTATACAAGTGAGAGAAAAAGACCCCCGTAACACGGAAGTAGAGAATAGACCCGGCGTGAACGCTGGAGAAGACCCCCGTAACAAGGGAGAAGCAAACCCCTCGCACCAGGGAGAAGATCGCAAGAGTGCTAGACCCAATACGCGTATTGGAGACAAAGACAGAGAAGGACCTAGTGGGAACACTAGAGAAGACCCTTGTAACAAGCGAGAAGCAGACCCCTCGCACCAGGGAGATGATCGCAAGAGTGCTAGACCCAATACGTGTATTGGAGACAAATATAGAGAAGGACCTAGTGCGAAACTGGAGAAGTCCTCCGTAACAAGGAAGAAGCAGACCCCTCGCACGAGGGAGAAGATCGCAAGAGTGCTCGACGCAATACGTGAATTGGAGACAAAGATCCCTACGGCAAGAGGGACACGGATAGTGACGGGTNCAGGGAGAAGATCGCAAGAGTGCTAGACCCAATACGCGTATTGGAGACAAAGACAGAGAAGGACCTAGTGGGAACACTAGAGAAGACCCTTGTAACAAGCGAGAAGCAGACCCCTCGCACCAGGGAGATGATCGCAAGAGTGCTAGACCCAATACGTGTATTGGAGACAAATATAGAGAAGGACCTAGTGCGAAACTGGAGAAGTCCTCCGTAACAAGGAAGAAGCAGACCCCTCGCACGAGGGAGAAGATCGCAAGAGTGCTCGACGCAATACGTGAATTGGAGACAAAGATCCCTACGGCAAGAGGGACACGGATAGTGACGGGTCGGCAGCCTTGCCACCTCCTTACGGGAAGCTACTGGCTGAAATGTGGAGAGAACAAAAAGAATGCCTCGCACGTGGCACACGACTTGACGAAAAGCAGGAAATAATTCACGAACTTGCGAAGACTGGTAGCATGCTTCTGAAAACGAACGACGGAAAGTTGGGAGATGTCGCGAGGGCAATCGGCGGCACCTTGGTGTCACCGCCTTTAGACCTGAGCGACCTCGAGCAACACTTCCCAACCAAAAAACGCTTTCCAGACTTGACGAATCTCATAGACATAATAGACAATGGTGTGCCAGCGAAAACGCACGACAGCCCGCCAAACCTCGAGAGCGCTCTGCGATACGGAAATCACAGTACGATAGACGCCCTGGTGTGGAAGAAGCTGATAGACGACGTCAAACAGAACAGATGCCTCGTATTCAACGTAGCGGACGTAACTTGCATGAAGGGCGTTCGCGTATCGCCGCTAGGAGCAGTGGTAGGGAAAAAAATCAGAATCATCAACGAGTTTTCTTTTGACCCCAAGCTGCTGCGCGGACAGAAGGGAGGAGTCAACGTCGATACATACGGTAACGGAAGAAGTACCAGACTGTTTGTGCGGAGAGACTCTACCTGCTTTCCTTTCTAAAATAACGCGCTTGAGAGTCAAATGGCCTGACAAGAGGATACCAGTGCCCACGGCGGACGTGAACAACGCTTACCGAAGCGTGAGAGTTGCGCCAGACGATGCACAAAAATTCTGCTTTGTGATAGGAGACGTACTAAATAGTCGCCGACTTCAGACTGACGTTTGGATGGGCAGGTTCGCCCGGTTTTTGGGGAGTCATGGCGTCCGCTGCTGAACACTCACACCGCAACACCAACGTACACAACGTACAATTATTAGTAGACGAAGGAATCGAAATGATGTCACATGTGAAAATAGTCGAGCCGTGGGAAGACGGACAACCCGCCCGAGTGCCCCGAGATGCCAACGTGAAACCGCGTGACGGAGGCGAACCACACGATGATTTCTCGTATTGGGTGTACGTAGACGATTTCGCTTTACTGAAAGTACAACATGCGCCAGANATTATTAGTAGACGAAGGAATCGAAATGATGTCACATGTGAAAATAGTCGAGCCGTGGGAAGACGGACAACCCGCCCGAGTGCCCCGAGATGCCAACGTGAAACCGCGTGACGGAGGCGAACCACACGATGATTTCTCGTATTGGGTGTACGTAGACGATTTCGCTTTACTGAAAGTACAACATGCGCCAGACGACGCATCAGCGCTGGTAGCCTCCGCGTCATTAGCGTCTGACTGTGTGAGACTCGTCGGGCCAGCAGAGGGGGGCCAAACGCCCATTCTTGCCCCGAAGAACAGCACAGACTGAAACACGAGAGCGAATTTTCTCGGACACACGGTAGACACCCATAAAATGACGATCGCGACAGCACGTGAAAGGATCGACGCGATAAGGACCGCGCTAGAGAACGATTGGCCACAGACCAGAGAATTCGCCAGTGTGCAAGAAGTCCTGAGTATGGCGGGAAAACTCTGGAACCTGACGTACGTCATGAGGGCGGGGAAATATTTCGTATGGCACCTCTTACGCCTCACCGGCCTACGCGACAAGACTAACAGACAGTCAAGAGAAAAGTGGCAGATACGTCTTGGTTGGGAGTTCCACGGAGACCTAAACTTCTGGAGATGGGCGCTGGAAGTTAAACTCGCGGAGAATGGAGTCACTTAGCGCGTTTTTCTTTAACCACGTCCAACGCACGCCTCTCCGTCATTACCTATCGGATGCTGGCTTCAACGCGGTAGGCGGACACTGTCCCGAACTAAAAGTGTTCTGGCGGTATCGATTTAAACCCGCGTTTACCGCGGAGCTGAAAAGGAAAGCAGAAGCCAAAGAAACCAGCGCAATCACCATCAACACGCTAGAACTGCTCGGAATGATAATTACATGCTGGGTGGTCCAAATGGTCGTGGGAGAAAAGCCGACGCAACCCGGACAAACTATCATGATGAGGGGAGACAACGTGTCGGCGGTATCATGGGCAAACAGATGCGGGGGCTCGAGAGATAGGCGAGCGGGACTGCTCATGAGACTGCTTGGTCGTATGGAGATTGAAAACGGATGGTGTCACGTGGCGAAACACATCCCGGGACGCGAGAATACCCTCGCGGACGGGATATCTAGATGGAAGTCAGAGGACGTAGAAGTCAACGTGGAAAGACTCACGCATAACGATAAGTGGCGAATGCAAGACATCGGAGACAACGGAAGAGAACTAATCGAAATGATACTGCAGGAGAAACTCCCGAACCAAAGAATGGATGGCCTCGTTTGGAGCCGCATGGCAAGCATGTAAAGAGAAGAAGTGATGAAAGAATGATCAGCAAAAGAACTAAAAAAGGTGTGATGACTCTAACGTGTTCAAGCGCAGGAAGCGAACACGGGACGAAGGGAACGAACGAGGAAGGCGAAAGGCTCCTCAGGATTATGGAAGCACGGCTCCCTCAACGCGAGCACGCTGAAGGGATACCACAGCAAGTGGGACACGTGGACAGCTGAAAGAGCTAAAGTGAATCTGAGTCCATGGTTGTACGAAGAAGATGGTGTGGATAGCGCAGTGAGAGAGCTGACTGTGTTCATGGCGTCGAGGTGTTTAGTCTAGTGTACAAGAACCAGAGCCAAACGGTGAAGGGGTACATCGCGGCTATCAAGTACTTCCATAAACTTTACACAGGCTGGGAGCTGCCCACGTCTCACTCCAGAGTGGTAGCTGTTGGGAACGCAATAGACAGACTGCATGCGATGGCAGAGGCGAAACCGTTGGTAAGGCAACCGCTCACCGTGCCGATGATTATTGCTGGGAGAGAAAGAGCGCAGACGAACGCTTTCGGACTAGTGACGTGGATGGGGATCGCTCTCTCAAATTTCTTGCTGTGCCGAGCGTCTGAGCTGTGGGCCTACCAGAACAGCTTCGTACACGCCGATTTTCGTCTCACGAGAGGGAACCTCGTATTCTTCGGAGGAGCGTGTCGGCTAGCGTGGAACGAAAGAAGGCGGGCAGACAGAGTAAAAGTGACCTTTCGCGCGTCGAAAGCGGACCAAAAGAGGCGAGGCGCGGTGNAAGGCGGGCAGACAGAGTAGAGGTGACTTTCCGCGCATCGAAAGCGGACCAAAAGAGGCGAGGCGCGATAGTGACGAGAGAGAGAGTAATGCGGGACGAGGAAGGGGGACAGATGGCTGAGAAGATAGGGGCGCTAGAGATTTTGCTGAATCTGCTTGACGTGCACCCAGAGTTGGGAAGTAGCGCGTCGCTCATGCAGTCGGTCAAGCAGGGACGGTGGGCAGTAGTGTCGAGGTCGGAAGCAACGACGGTGCTGAGAGACATGGCGAGAAGAGTAGGAGAAGACCCAACGCACTTCGCGCTGCATTCAGGGAGGATAGGTGGTGCGACGCAACTAGCAAAGCAGGGCGCATCGGTTGTTCAGATTCGGAGGGCGGGGAGGTGGAAGTCAGGAGCCTTTATGACGTACGTGAGGGCAGGAGGCGAAGGTGCTAATTATGTATCGCGTGCACTAGCGTCTAGCTGAAGGGGAGAAGTAGCGTGGACAAGAGCGCCGAGTACCGGGCCGCGCAATGGGATATGACCTGGGCACAGACGTCTGGTTGGCCCGATAAGTGATGCCTAGTGAGTCCCAGAGGAAGTCAATGGTTCGGCTCATAGGTTGGATTTTGGTTTTGGTATTTTTTGGTTTCGGCGTTTCTGATGTCTTGTCGCTTTTTCTAATAATCCAAAGTTCTTGAGCAAAACACAAAACGAAGGATTCGGTATACGTAAGCGTGAATCCGTGGTTTGTGGAAGCGTTCCGGAAATTTCGTGAAAGAGCGGCGAGAGGCAAAAAAAAGGGTACACGGGGGTATAGCTATACACAGGGTACAAAGAAGAGAGAGAGAGAGTGGCAGAAGCTTTTGGGATCCTTGGGAAACCGAGGACCTCGAAGGGAAAAGCGTTGCATCGCCCGCGAAGGCAGTGCAGCAGAGCAGCAGCGAGAGAATAGTCTAGAGGTTTTGTTTGGGACTTGATAAAATTTTCCCACCCACCCACCCGAGGGAACAGCTCCTTAGCGTGCTGTACTAACGAACCAACCAGCGTAGAGCAAACGCGGCGCGTTGTGCTCCGATGGATGCGGGGCTACAGCAATCAATCCTGTCCCTTACTACTGTTGTAGACTACACATTTGTCATGGCACTAGTCTACATAGACTACCGATGATGATGATGCGTAATAATTTGGAGATTTGACACCTCGCACAGCAGTGGGAGGCTACCCCCCCAGGCTGGTGGTGCGGCCGTTCCACTAGTCTAATTATTTATTTTATTTTATTTTATTTGTTTCTGATTATATTTTGTTTTCTTGTATTTTATCGCTCTGCTGACCCTTGGGGTCCATTTTATTTTGGTATACCTTTTCTAGGTACGTTAGCCTGTGACCACGGAAATTGGCCGAGTCAAGTGATGGATTAGTACGGAGAGATTGAGACAGAAGGAGGTACTGGATAGAGAGACCGGGATGGTTTTTAATGTGAAGACAACAACAACAACAACAACAGCAGTCCACCGTGGTCAAGTCCACCGTGGTCTCACGTACTGTTGCCCGTGCGCCGTGATATGTACATGTGGTCAATATCTTATCCCTTCCATCGCCGAGCCTTACTCGCTAAGTCTAGACTACATCTTGTCCCTTGCAGCATCCCCGTATGTGCGTTGCTTGGTGAGAGAAATTTAGTCGAACACGAACAAAATGGACAACTAGTCTGTAGGTACCACTGCTGTACTTCGTATGTTGTGCATACATGTCATGTGTAGACTACACACGGCAACTAACCTACCTGGTGGTTGAAGCGGGTGACACAAAGCATAGACTAAAGTCTAATAAAGCGTGGGTTTCTCGTACATCGTACGTTTCTTCGTCCATTTTCATACTTCTATATATCTGAGTCAGCTGAGCGGCCGGAAAGTACACTGCATGCATGTTTGCATGTTTCGATGGACAACGACACCCGATATGCATGCACGTATACAGTAGTAAAGACAAACTACAACATGCCCCACCTGTTTCAAAGTTTGGTGAGTGCGGGCGATCGATGAAGATTGGAAAATGAGACACTCAATTCAACAAACAAATCAATTCAATTCAACTCGGTATGGAGTATTGACAGGTATTTCCCTGCTCCATGCTGCTCTTCCTGTACATTGTACCAGCCAGTGTTCGTTTCTATTTCTCGCAGGTCTATCATCTGTGGGGTGTTGTCTTATCCTCTCTGTGATATATGGTAGTCTCGTTGGTGTGTGGCGACGACGGAAGGTATCTGCATCATTAATGGGCACGTACCGGAGACCGTCCGACGTATATGATGTTCGTCAGGTCGTATGTTCCAGGTCGTACGCATCACATGGTATGCATTGAAACCCTCGCGAAAGGGCTCCTAAAAAAGCTAAAAAACAGGGTTGGTTGCCGTGTCGGCCGCCACCAATAGTATGGCCACCCAAGGAAAACGCCGTTACTCTTCGGGGTTGTCCATTTATCCCATTATTTGTTTTCCCCAACGTTGGGCACACCCATTCACCGGTGTGAAACAAGACGGATTGGGCCCGGCACTCATACTCATCACGCGGCACACTTTCGGGTGCCATCTCAATCCGAAAAAATGCCGAAATGTTTTTCGATGCCCCCCGTGTCCCCCACTCGCGGGTGGGGACGCGCCCGTTTCCAACGTGTTCCGGTCCACGCTTCCCAGAAAAACAGTAGTCTTCGTGCCCACCTACTATCTGGACGGGATTGGCACGCAGAAATCTTGGCTTATTGTGGATGTCCAACCTGAGTTGGGTACCCTTACGGCGCATTTCCGGCAATCACAACAACGCCCGTGTTTGCTGACAAGGTCATTTTTTACACGTGGTGAGAGCAAACGTTTTTTTCACACGTTCGAGTGCAAATGTCCCTCTGTTTCACCAACGACAACCCCGAAGAATATATCATGTGAGAATACGCACACCAGAAGCGTTGTGGCCTAGCCCCTGGTTCAGACCCACTCCACAGTACAATCCAGCACGCACGCGAAACAGGAGCCACAGGCAGAGGAGGACAAGAATGCTTGATAATTTCAGCTTCTAAGAAGCACTCTCGCTGCACCATGCATCGCTGCATCGGGGACCGACACGCACACCACGGGCCCAACAAGGCGAAACAACACCAGACCATCTCAAACTGAGTCTACAATTGTACACAACGGGCGTGTAACCTGAAAGACGTCATTGGATCACCACCATGTGCATCACCCACCCTAAACACGGGTTGAAATCCGCAAACACATGAAACCGACTGTGGAGTACACGCTAAGCGGGAAGTGGTGGCACTAGCAAGGGTTTGGCGGTCGGCGGTCAACCCGTCAACAAACATACGTTCCAATACCTCGCATATGCACCTTGCACGTCCACCAAAACACTACGTCCCACGCGAGAAATTACAAAACGCCTGCCCGGCCGAACTATCAATCGGATACCTTTCTGACTTTCGCACACCTCCAACTCTTCAGGCACAATCCCAACGTGAACAACACTCTACCGTGTTTTCCCCCATTTTGCAATACTCAAGCGGTCGACCCCAGCACCGTAGCAAGCATGACAATGTCCACCCTCCCCAGGCAGTCGAATACGCGCATGACGGGCTTCCGGCAAAAGCACCTGCCGCACCTCCATAGGGCGGCTTCACAGCCAGCAAAGCTGGGTGTTCCGTGGCACTTGCCAAAAGCGTCATCAGGGTTTTTCTGTTGACCCCCTGGTTTTGGCGCTTGTTGATCACCCTTAGCGCGAAAGTGAAGTTGGAAAATGTCATGGTATTGAGCGATTGAAGGTACAACGCCTTCCTCGAATGGCCCTGTTCGTGCGATTTCAGGTTGATCCCTGCAAGCTCATCCCACGTCGTGAAACCACTGTACTGCCGCTGGCACTCCTTGCTGTCGTTCTTCTCGTGAGGTCCGTCTGGGCCCACAAACATCCCCGACTGCCACATCTCATATTTGGCGTGCTCGGACGACTTGTCGTCGAAGGTGGTGTCATGCCAGACGTAATCGTACCCAACCACCTTGAAGTTCTCCGCGCTCTCATGCGGGGGGACGTCCACCGCCAGTGCAATCTGAAGGGCCATATACCGTCTCCACACCCGATGCCGCAGCGAATGGCACTCTCTGGAAGTTGCACGACCACGGCAAGAGCGTCAAGCTTTAGCGAATGGATGGATACAGAGATGCTCATGATTCATGCTGTGGAGGTTATCAACTGTAAACCGAACCACGCAACCCAACACGCCTCGACCCATGTCATATAAGCCTGGAGATGCCCGACATCAATCGCCCTTCAACGAAACGGGCACTACGAGCCCTCCAGAAACCATCATGAGACATACCTGCGATCTTGCGCTCTTTCTCGCCAATCGGCTGTACTCCGTCGACCATGAACTTTGTCTTTGCCTGCAGCAATCCGCACGCGAGGAAAGGAGTGGCTGTTGGACAACGCCTAAATTCTGACTACGCGTTTCAAACCGACAGCACACCGTACAGAGGAAAGCGAAGGCGCGCACGTCGACAGGCGAAACTCTATTATAGAGGGCTCGGGACTGGTGGATTGTTTGGAAGAGTAGATGGGAGCTTCGATCTTGGAACCACTCAGCAGAGTTTGTGCACCTCTCGACCACGACCTTTGACTCTGACTGCAGCAACAATTAGAAGCGGCAAAGGTTGGCTGTGCGACACACCTCAAATATCACCACGCGTACACGTGGAAAGAGAAGGAAGGGCGCGGCTCGAAAACAGTTTGCCAACGGCCCGACGCGCAGGGAATCCCAGGCAAGCGATTCTGAAGGGTAGACACTAGAGGGCTAGCGAGAGATGGATTGTGTGGAGGGATGGATACAGCCTTCGTTTTTGAAACCGCTAAACAGTGCTCGTCCACCCGTGGGCAAAGTCAATGATTGCACCACAGAAGGCAAACTGTAAACCCAACGCCGCATTCCTTACCCCAAGTGCTCTCAGAAAGGTCGAGATACCGATGCAATGATCAAGAGAAGGCAATAGGTTGGTGTACTCAACCTCCGGCTGCTGAATGATCTGATCATTACTGCGCTTAACGCCACGCATGCATGCAACCCGTCCACCTGGGTAGCATAGAGGGTTGAAGTGTCACCGTCCACGAAATCCCCCGCACCAAACCAATCCGGCAAGCATGCATGCACCCTTTCCATTCGTGGCCCCGCGAGCAACCACCAACACTTCCCGCAAGTGTTTTTCGGCGTCACCAGTGCTGATTGCATCCACGCTCTCAGCGGTGGTCCCGACAGGCAGTACTCCGTGGGAAGGCCTTCGTAGGGTCCACCCGGTAGCCCCTAGCTCTAGCATGCCTGGTTCATCTTCGGCGATGTTTCGGAGCCAGACGTACGTGAAGATGAGGACCTCTTCGTAGGGTCCACCCGGTAGCCCCTAGCTCTAGCATGCCTGGTTCATCTTCGGCGATGTTTCGGAGCCAGACGCACGTGAAGATGAGGACCTCGAACAAGGAGAGCACCCGAACTCCTGCCTCCCGGAGACCTGCCACAGCCCTCGTGGCCGCCAAGTTAACGGCCTTCGGGACTGGTCCCTGTGTTTCGGCGGACGCGTGCAGAAGGTCGTAGACGTTTACTTGGCTCTGCACACGATCGCCCTGGGCAGCAGCCTTGAGGGCGTACACGTCGACTTTGCTGTCTCTCTTTGGTGGTACAGGTACAGAAACTTGCGGTGCTTCGACGGTGGTACTTGAGCTGTGGCTGCCGAGGTGTGCTAACGCCGGAAAGAAGACGCGTGGTGTGGGTGCGGGCTCGCCATCCTCGGTGTCAATTGAGGCNCCCCCCCCCGGCGTCGCCAAGCCGAGTGGGTCTCCCGCGGTTTTGAAGGACCCCCGGGAGGTGTTTTTCCATGTGCGCCACCGCTTTGCATCCGGCATCGTACACCCCAAGAACCGGCGTTTGCTGTCATGTTGGCAAAGGGCAAGGGCAACACGGAAAACGGCACAGGCGGAAGTTAAACCAAACCGACAAACACATCGCCTACGGGGCAGGGATAGAGCGCTGTTTAGCACGCTTGGACGTTTGTCCGATCCAAGCGTAGACGGGTGCACGTTACCTAACAACGTACTCCTCAAACACCAAGGAGAGTAGAGCCAACGGTGACAGGTAGTTACTTTAGTGACAAGTATGTCGTGCTCTCCGTCGTTCCTTTACTCCCTCGCAAGAAGTCCCGCTGTGAGAACCTTCTTTGTGAGCGTTGGCGCTTGCCAGCTAGGGTGCTTTCTATTTCGCGTGTCGTCATCGTGACGTTGTCGTTACTCCGGGAAATATTTCAACTCAGGTTAACGTCAATCAAGCCATCCACCTACATTTTCGCCACACGTAGTAGGTCCTCATGTTTTTGTTTTGGATACTTTCGAGGGGGGAGGGGTACTCATAGTCGTGCATGCCGTAGTCGTTAGACCATTGACCTCGCATCCCTACAAAGCCGGGACGGAGCATGCCGGGTTCTCACCGGACCAGGCTCTCACATCACCACGCGCGAAGCGCCGTGAGGTATTCGGCGAATCGCATGAAGGGTGCGCTGCATCCTGCTAAGGGTGTTCGGCATCTTGTGCTTACTTCCTGGCGTACGGATGACAGCTGCGTATGACTTAATTTATTTTCTGGTGCTTTCACTTCCAGAGACAGCTGAAAGCACGGTGTAACTGCCTCGAGGGTGTTTGACACAACGTGTTGCGATGGTCCCCCTTGCCCGGAATGAGAGTTCTCGACCGCGCACAACATGATCCACTCGATCACCGTTTATGGTTACCGCAAGAAAAAAAACAAGAGCAACAAAAATCGGTAACCTGGTTGCCGAGCTCACGAAGTGATCGTCTTGCTTTACAACGTCGTTCTCACGCGACGAGAACCCAACCCCGATGGCAAACACCGGGGGGGGGGGGCGTACTCTTATGTTTTGCATGCCTTAGCGGTTAGACCATTGACCACGCGTCCTCGAGAGGACGGAGCATTGTTCCCACAGGACCGATCACCGATGGCCAATCGTTCCTTTCTACTTTGCCAAAGGTGGCTCAAAAATGTCTTCCCTAGTCTGTCTATCCTAACGATATCCCTTCCCGCCTTTTCAACCCACCTCCTATGCCCCACTACAGCTACCGTCCTTTCCTCTCTATTCCATGCCTCAAACATCTCCCTGTACGTTCCATCTATTTTTCCCAGCTCAGTCACGTACACTTCCCTCTCCTTCTTGTACAACGGACATTCCGCGACTACATGAACACGGTCTTCGCATTCGAAGCCGCAATCACATTTGAACTCGTCGTCTTCCTCGTCTACCGTCCTATGTCTTCGTCGACGTTCTCGAAGGCCTATGTCCCCGGTCCTGAATTTGACCTTAAGCTTTGTTCCTGCATCCATTGGTCCATGTAGGTAATCCTTGAACCCTATTCCTTCCTTCAACATTCCGTACACTTCTAGACCCTCCTTATCCTTGGATTCTTTCCTCAGATTCTGTTCTTCTCTCTCGGCACAAGCAACAGATATCTTCTCCTTGAACCCCTGTAGACCCTCCGTTTCCAGCGTTTCATCTTCGTCGATGTCGAGCCCCTTCCATACGTCCTCTACAACCTTGACCCATTCCGTGGGTTGTCTACCCCTCTTTTTGTTTGCCCACTTCGCCTCCCATACAATTCTCGGCAACCTCTCCTCTCCCATCCCGCACATGCGATACTGCCAGGTCAGCTTCCTCGCGTCTCTTCCCGACCGTAGGGATTGGATCCCCAATTCTGCCCTCACGGCTGCATTACTTGTGCGCCTGGAGCATCCTAGGATGGTTTTCGCTGCTTTCATCTGCGCCGCCTCGAGTTCTTTCACTACCTTCTTATTTCCTTCCCATACTTCTCCGGCGTACTCTAGCGGCGGTACGATTACGCTCTTCAAAACCGTCAATTTGATGCGTGTATCGAGGTGCCGGTTTGCGAGTATTGGGTGCAGCTTCCCTGCTCGTGCTTTGCCCTTTTCCGCTACCTTGGACATGTGTGCATTCCACGAGCAGTCTTTTGCGATCTCTACTCCGAGGTTTGTGTACTGGTCCACTACTGCAATCTCCTCGATCCCCCACTTCCATCTATGTTCTACTGGTTCCTCCTTGTTCTCGTTGCATACCATGACGGCACTCTTCTGAACGTTGGCAGACAATCTCCACTTATCAGTAAACTTCTTCGCCGCGTCAATTTGCAGTTGCAGTCCCTCAGGGGTGTCCGACATACCGACAAAATCATCCGCAAACAGCATTCCTGAAACCGACGTTTCCGTGTCCCCTACTTTTACTCCCTTCCGGACTGCCTCTACGACTTCCAACAGATCGTTGATGAACACCTGGAACAATGTTGGGGACAGCGTGCAACCTTGTGGGACCCCCTGCTCAATGTCGAAGAATTTTGACAGTTCTCCGTCTAGCATGACCGCGCTTTTCGTACACTCTGTCATCTTCTTCAGCACTCTCCACATTTCCCCTCGATCCCGTATTTGGACAGTTGTTTCTACAACCCATTTCCCCATACGGTATCGTATGCCTTTTTCACGTCCAGGAAGAAGCAGTACGTCGGCTTTCCCGCCCTCTTTCTACCTTGGATGATTCTCCCTGCCGTGAATGCGTGGTCTATGCACCCCCTCTCCTTTCGAGGGGGGGTTCCAATTCCTCTATACATCATGCGCGCCTCGCTTGGGACCTAGGTTTGCGTCCGGGTACCCCAATGCGCGAGATAGGATGTACTTTTGCGAACACCCGAGTCATTACCACAAAACGGACACGTAGCACGTTTCGACCACCTAATCCGCTCAGAGTGTGTGTGAAACGAAGACACTAGTAGCACACGATGGGCTCTTCGTATGCGGGTTGCTTAAAGTGGGCTCCACACACCACGAAAGCAAATTGGAAACAATACCTCAAGTATTGTTATCGGCCCTTCGCCGGGGGCGCGTAGGGGCAACCTTGGTGTGCGGGACTACTGTTGTCAGGTTGCCATCTGATTCCCAAAACGAGTGCAGCTGCTGCAGGATCGACACCATCGGCTCCTTGGTCGAGAACCTACGAGCAAAAAAGAAAATATGGCACACGACGCAAGCGGGCATGAGAGGAATACAGCCATACTGCGATGGCCGGACAACCCGCGTCGTTCAACGGCCACCTACTAAGTGACGTACGCCAATAAATGGTTGATGGTTCCAAATAACATCAACAGCGTCTCAACTGTACACTTGTACGGGCAAACAACGGATCTCTGGTTTAGAATGCCCACAAAACGCAAGGGGTACTGTTTGTGAGGAATATAACCCGTAAGCATGAGGGCATGCTCTCCACATGTACATCGAATAAACTGGATAACTAGCCCACGAAGCGATCCAGGGTCAACCTCTACGCGTTGGAGGGACAGTGGGTTGCTTCCCAGACCAAACATATTCGGTCGCTGTTCTGCTACACAACTCCCCGCTCGACGCCCGAAAGACAAAAATAAATGGCGTGAAATAGAGGGGATGCGGAGGTAGGGTGGTGAACGAAGGGAACCAAAGGAGGCAGCCTCATGAAAAACCAAAAACGGTTTCGAGCCAAAGCAGGTGATCAAATCTGCGCCAATGCATACGCGGTCGTGCCTTCAGGTGTTCTTGAAGGCACACACACACACACACACACGTAGCTGAGTCCGCAGACCACAACCACTGTATCACTCTGATTCTCTATGCTGTGACTCTGCACTCACTTTGAAACGCCTCCATCGGGCGAGCAGGCCTTCATGTGGCCGTTCAGGGTCGCCACGTCCATGCCAGACAGGTCACCGACAGCCTTTCCCTCCAGCCTCTCGATAAGGAGAGCGCCATTGCCTTGCTCAACGAAGGCGGTGTTGTTGCTTCCCTGCAACACCCCACACTGTCTTGTGGAAGATCGCCGACAGTCGGATGTCTGGAGACACCCACGCTGGCGCGTTTCCAACCGTCTCCCCGGCCCCGACCACAAACTGTACCCTTGTGCCGCCGAACCAGGCCGGCGATACCATGCTCAACTGCAGAAGATTCATGACGAGGTCAGCGTTGATGTCTTGCTCGGGTCTCGACGTGATCACCTGCCCCAGAGTCACGAAGTTGCAGGCGATCTTCATGCAGGCGTCGAAAGTGAGGATCGGCGGAAACTTCACCCACATCCAGCACCGAAATTCGAAAGTGTGGTCGATGAGGGCCAGGAACGCCAAGAAAATGTTGTTGAGCACGTTGAGCAAGTTGGTGCCGTTTGCGAGCCTGGACGTGGAGGTAATGCGCGAAGAAATAATCGTCGGCAAATCGCGGTTGTTTGTCACTACACATAAAATTCAACAAGAAAATAAGCCTGCACCAAGCCCCCCCCCTCGATGCAATATCAACACATTTTTCGACAACAACGAACCGCTTCGCATGCTAGCAGAGTAGAGTGGGCACTACGTTTTTTTTTTCTACTTCAAGTAATAATCAAGCATGCCCGCGGGGGAAATGGTGCAATGGGTGGTGCCCAGAATTCGGGAAAGATGAAGATCCTCAGATCGCCAGCTTACAAGGAGACCAAACTGGAAATCAGGATCGATTATCATCTGAGTTTGTGCGAGATGAGGAGCCCTGGTAGTTTCATTATCCAATGCGGCCATGCCATCTTTTTCGCTGCGAGACACGCCTCAGTAGCTTGCTACACCGCCAGCTACACATTAATATAGCAACGTGGAACACTACATTTACCTATTGCTGAGATCAGGGTTCGCCTTGATCCAGACCAAGTCGCTCGCCAAAGGTTCTAAAAACGTCTCGAAGAAGGCGCTTATAGTCGTACCCCTGGTGAACGCCTCCAGGCATCTGTACAGGATAGACAGCTCCACCAGGTAGCTGTTGTTGTAGTTGAACAAACCAGTCTCCCGCCAGTTTTCACTGGCCAATCCGTGGATACCGCACGTCTCACACTCGTTTGTGTGCACGTTCACTTTCGACATGCCTGGCCCCTGCAACAAGACACACATAGCATCTTGTTAGCAGACCGATACGTCGTACTCGGCGGGTAAATCTCGCATGATCACCAGCGGTTTCGTTCAGGGTGGCGACTCCAGGATTTGGGGGAAAGTCGGGCGATTGCCACCAATTCACCCCCTCTTTAATGAGCATTCGGGAGAGTGTGCACGGCCTGTCGACACCCACAAACAAGACGTGGGGGTGCCCACCCTATTTTCTCTGATTTCCGCTGCCATCAATCATGGTACTCGACAGCCGGCGCCAACAGCATGAATGCTGGCACAAGCACTGCCACAACAATAGATACAACAAAAAGACAGCCATACAGTGCGGGTACAGTGCAAGAGCAGGACAACTATGTAGCCTACCCAGGAGTGGATGAGGGTGGGGGCATCTAAAATGTTTGCCTCCGGCACACACGCTGTCGACTTCGCTCATACCCACAAGGTCGCCCCGGTGGTCTCGTAGTCCGCTAGTCGCAGAGGTCGTGAGTTCGAATGGGGTGAAAAATTTACGAAATGTGCGGTTGAAAGCGAAATATAGCTTAAAAGCTCTCGTGAGTACCAAACTTCGACGTTAGCACCGTTGACGAGGGAAAGGGACGGCTGGACCCTTCTCGCGATAAAAACAAAATTCAGCACGCACCGCAGGAGGAAGGTGGGGCATGAAAAGAAAAAAAAAGAAGAAAAAGCCCTGGTGTTCACCCCCTCCTGTGTGACCCTGGATGGTTGTAGTTGTACGCAAAAATACACTGAAAAGTGTAGTACTCTTAATACGCTGAAAAGCGTAGAACACGTCTCACACGAAAAACGGGGGGACTGTCGCCATAACAAATAGGACGAAAACACACACACACAATACAAGGCGAGCCGCATGCTGAGCAGGGCACTGCCACAAGTTCCCACAGACATGCTGCACTCACCTCTGTCAACCGAGTTGCAACCACGGTATGCTGATTCTCCGCAGGGAAGTCACGACCACACCCTGAACACGTGTTCTGAGATGTAGTGCAAGTGATGCTGGCGTTCGCGTTCGTGATGGCACCATGACGCCCCAGGCCGAAAGGGAGGTTCTCCGGGAACTTGTAGACCGACATGGTGTTCAGGCAGTTTGCCAAGCCCTTGCGACACGCCGGTGCATCCTTGTCGAGCATTTTCTGCGCCGTGCGCGGCGTTCCGTCTGGAATTCTACCTCCATCCACGTCTACCTGCCCGACACCTAACCCTTCATCTCGCATTCCCTCCTCTTGCCAAAGCGCAAGGGTGACCACCAACGTGTGAAGACACTTTCGGTCCTTCTTCTCGAACTCGCTACAGGGTCCCCTCTGGTTTGCTTGTGCCGGGTACATGTGCGACGTACCGTAGGTGACACAAGATAACACACCCCCTGGACCGATTTTCAAAGCTCGATTACTCCACAGCAATAACACTGTGGGTCCTGATCAGGGTGTCGTTGGAAAGATCTCGCCGAGAGCTTTCCGAAAACGTGTCGTTGGGCATCGGAATCGTGATTGCTGCGGAGTAACCGAGCCTTGAAAATTGCCCCAGGGGGTGTGTTATCTTGTGCCACCTACGGTATGCATTTAGCATTGGTGCAAACGTGTGGTCCGTTCGGGCAAATATTCACAATCTTGTTTTTGCGATATCTTTCGAAAAAAAACGATTTGGAAAGTGAAACAACTTTGGGCGTGACCGCGGCGTCGAGCTTCGTCGATATCCGATGAGTTTTTGGTGATTGGGTGAAATGCGACATTTTTGACCAAAATGACCCACGGAGCCCCCACCCCCCACCCCCTCATGACCCCACGGAGCCCCCAAAGTACACCACGACCCCCCCTCAACCCCTCCCTTCTACACGTATATGCCTTCAGAACATCAGTTAAACCGTTGTCAATCCATATTTACATTATTTACACGTTACATATGTACATACATACATACAATACCGCCGTTTACTTTCTACTCAACCCCTGGCTGGTGAAGGTGCTGCAAACAAAGCATGCAGCAATCACATCCGTTCTCTCTAAGCAAGTCCGATACCAAGAGAGACAGCTATAGCGTTGAGTTGGTGACCATGACGAACGCCTCTACCGCGCCTAAACGCGAGAAACCAACACTACAACACACCGCGACATATAGATACGTACCCTCCCCACTCACGCCTGAGCGTGCCCGCCCAACCATTTCCTCAAAAAATTCATCGTGTTGCGCAAAATCCACAGCCGTAGCTGCTCCTTCCGGGAGGCTCTCTTGCTCGTCCACGTGTTGAAGGCTTCCCTGGTCGCTGCCATCGACTTCTTGCGCACTTCCTGCGCAGCCGCAAGCGCCTTCGCCTCGGCTGCCTTCTTCTGCTCCGGCGTCTTCCCCGCCCCCCTCGCCTGAATCACGGCATCTCCCCTGGCGGTGGCTTCTCGGTGCTTCCCCCACTCCTTGAGATCGCGGTACTCGAGGTAGTCCTCCAGGCCCTCGTCGTAGGCTTCGATGTACAGCCACGTCACCCTGCTCCATGCGCGGATAAACCGTGCGGGTACGCCGCTCAACGCGCCGGGCAAGACCTGGAGCATGTGGCGAAGGGAATACTCGCAGTGGAGGCGGAGGAGGTGCTTGATGTACCCCCAGTATCGCTCGATTGCGTTGAGCTCTGGGTGGTACTTCGGCAAGAAGATGCACAGGTGCCCGTGTGCCTTGAAGAGCTTCTCAACCATGTTGAGCTCCTCCCTGAACGCCTTGAGCTCAGACAGAACGCGCACGACGCAGCAGCGACGCCTCTTGCCTGCTTCACCAGCTGCCCCGCTCCCACCCGAGTCCCCGTCCTCTCCGGTGTCCTGAGGCTGAACATCATCATCAGCCTTGTCGCCGCTCTCTCCGTCAAGTTCGCCGGGGCCGCGAGAGCGGTCGCGGCTTGCGTCTAGTGCGTCGAGAAAACTGTCCTCGCCGCTGGAATAAAGAAGCTCTGCAGCTCTAGCCTGGTCATCCTCACCAAACCAATCTTCCAGCGGAACACCAACACCCGAACATACCAGCATGTCGGTCTCGCTCTCGCTGCTGTCGCCACGGCTGGTGCGGTCATGTTCTTCTTGCGGGCTGCAGATCTTCTCGGCATCATGATCACTGCTGTCCGCACCAACATCTCCCACCTCAACATCCATCTCCACCGCACCTTCAGTCTCCATAATTTGAGGCGAACCATGCTGCCCTTCCTGCTGCTGAGCTGGGGGCTTCAGCCATGCTGTCAAGCTCCCCGCCATCCCGGCGTCCTCCTTGCTCCACCGCGCTCGCCTGTGGCGATGCTGCGTCGACCGGTGGAGAGGTTGCACCGCGTTTTTTCGCGCAGGCGGCGCGACTTCGGGCGCCACCGCCATTGCTGTGCGAGCTGCTGCAGACACCGCAGCACTCGCTGCAGAGCGAACCGCAGAACCGAACGGCAGTTTCGCCTGCCCGCGACCTGGCTCGCCACCCACATCCTCATCGCGCCAGTCGTCGTCGTGGTCGTTGGTATGCATGGGAGAAATATTTGCGCCTTCATGGTCGGAAGCGGGAGGAGAGTCGTTGCCTACAGCAGGGTCCGCAGGGGGCGAAGGGGCCTTCCGAATCGTGCCGTCGGCGTTCCTTGGCAGCTTGCGCTTACCCTTTGGGTGACCCATGTGCCCGGAGCGCGTGTGCGTCTTTCGTTGCGTGCGTAAAGGGTGTGTGTGTGTTTCCTCTGGTGTGTGTGGCGGGAAAAAAATCCCCGAGGGCGTGTGAAACCACCCGAAATATCTCCGAAACCCGAGTTTTTTTTTGAAATCGGAAAAAAATTATCGGTGGGAAATCACGAGAGGAATCGATTGCAGCACTTTATTTTTGAATCGTACGGTTGGATTTTCCCCAAGAAACTAAGCAAAATACCCTCCAATATCAGTTTTTTGCCCATAACTCCGTTATTTTTTGTCAAATTGGAAATTGGAAAAAAATCATCGGTGGCAAATCACAAGAGCTGTCCAAATCCGGTCTCAGACTTTGTTTCTGCAATAAACACCGCCCTCCAGAAAGTAAGCAAGATTTCTTGAATATCTGAACATATCGAGCGAAGGACAAAACAAAAAAAAAATCTCCGTACGAAGATGCGCCTTGAAACGTCGATTTACGCGGTATTTTAAGATTTCGGAATAAGTACCCCCACCCCGAGAAAAGTGCACCTTTGTGCAGGGGAAAATATTGTGAATTTTTCCGGAAACGGACCATATTTTGCGGAGGGATATTAGATTGAACAAGGCATCATACGGCGGCACCTTGAGAATAGCGCAATCGACGGTGCTTACCCCCCACACAATGTGAGCACAGTGTCGTACTACCCCCCCTCATTTCGGCAAAAAGGTGTCAAAACGTTGTCGTACCCCCGGGGGTGCTCCTTTCTCTAGACCCCTCCCCCTCGGTGTTTGCCACCGGGATTGGGTTTTCGTCGCTTGGCAACGACGTTGTAAAACAAGCCAGTTCACTTCGTGAAGTCGGCAACCAAGTTACCGTTTTTTATTACCTCAGTTTTTTTTTTGGCGGTAACCAGAATGGTGGTCGAGTAGATCATTTTGTGCGGGGTGGAGAAACCTCACTCCGCGCAAGGGGGATAATCGTACCACGTTGTGTTAAAATGGCCAAGCATCCCCGAGACAGTTACACGGTGCTATCAGCTGTCTCTGGAAGTGAAAGCACCAGAAAATGAATTAAGTCATACGCAGCTGTCATCCGTACGCTAGGAAGTAAGCACAAGATGCCGAACACCCTTAGCAGGATGCGGCACACCCTTCATGCGACTCGCCGAATACCTCACGGCGCTTCGTGCTTGGTGATGTGAGAGCCTGGTGCGGTGAGAACCCGGCGTGCTCCGTCTCGGCTTTGTAGGGATGCGAGGTCGATGGTCTAACGATACACAACTATGAGTACACCCCCCCCCAAGGTAGAAAGAGGGCGGGAAAGCCGACGAACTGCTTCTTCCTGGACGTGAACAAGGCATACGATACCGTATGGAGAAATGGGTTGTGGAAACAACTGTCCAAATACGGGATCAAGGCGAAAATGTGGAG